GCTTCTTTTTTTTAATTTTGTGTATTGCTGATGCTGCAGATAGGATATTATCCAGACGCTTAGATCCTGTATCGGATGGATGTGATGCTCACTGCTCGTTGAGTTATTTATAATCGCTGGACCTTTATTCTATTTTATTTTCATATCCCCCATTTGACCTTTTTTTCTCTCTTTCTCTCTGTCACCAATCTCTAGATTACATCGTTTTATTTCCTGTCTTTGAAAAAAGGTACGTTTATCAACTTGTCAATACATGCTTCTTTTTTAGTTTCTGGGCTACTATCCATGTTGGTGATTTGTTGTTATTTACGCTTGCCGCCTGTGTCCTTTATTCATCGTAAATCATCGTGTTTCCAGACGCAGTAACAGAACAGAAAAAAAGGCATTTCCACATCCTTTTATTACCTCCTCTATTCCTTTTTTTGTGTCTCTATGGTCCCGTGGTCTCTGCTCTACTACCTGCGGGACCGTCAACAACATCTACTGCGTTATATATATAATTGCGCTGCGAGAGAATTAAAGATCAGAGATATAAAAGAAAAATGCCTATTGATGTTGATTATTTTAGGGAGTACTGGTCATATGCCTTTGTTTCTGTATACATCTTGAATCCCGCTTGGTCTCATGTCCCACTTCAACAAGCAGCTGTGGGTCTGGAAAATTCCTAAAAAAAGACGAAAATAAAATGGACACGAAATAAAAAAAAAAAGAGGGATACGCTTGTTTTTTTCTTCTCGTGTCTATTAAACTTGGCCCCCCCCCTTTATTCTCTTTATTGATATGATTTCAAAGCCTTTTTTATTTTGTCTTGGTTGTTTTTTTTTTGCCATTTGTGGAATCAACAATTATCGTGGTATCTACCAATTTAAAATATCGTTTATTCCAATATTATTCTTTTGTGTATTGGAACTGAGTCAGAAAATCTCTTTGTAATATGCAATTGGTCTTTTTTATATCTTTTTTTCTTGAATAAACAAATTCCAGTCAGACATCTTGAATCAAAAAAAAAACAATAATAATAGTCTTTTTTTCCATTTTGTTCACGCTTTATATTTATTTCATATACCAGTCATTGATTTTTTTTTGCGACTTGATTTTTATACTTGCTTTCATTTCTACGTGTCGCGTTTTATTTTTTTTATTCACGTTTTATTACTAATAACCTTGTACTCTGTCTCTTCCACTTTGAATCCCTCCCCTCTCTCTTTCCCCCTTTTCCATTTGATTTATTTTAGTTATCCATCTTGCATTTCCATATATCAGGCACTACGATTCAAACCTGGGCAAAAAAATAAGAGGTTATCGCCAATCAGTGAGAAAAAAAAACTTCATTCATCAGCTATTCTTATTCTCAGAGAAATTGCTTTCCAATACACGCTGTTTTTTTTGTTTGCTGCTTGGGGTGTTTATTTTGAAGAATGCCGCCAAAGAGAAGACCTGGGACAACGATCGACAGCCCCCATGAGAGCTCGGGACGCGGTGGGACGGAAGGAGGCTCAGTTTTGCTGCAAACAGCTCAAAGTTGGCAGAATTCGACAGCAGCGACGACCAGCTCAGCCGCTATTATCTCCCCAAATGGTTATATTGCATTTTCCGATTTACTCGACACAGCCGGTGGCAGCAGCAACAGCAGAAGCATAGAGCCCGGGCTTGGCCACGATGTATGTTCTTTTTCAGCAGCCAACAACAACAACAGCAAAAACAACAGAAGCGGCGACAAACAAAAAGCCAAAAGCGCCTCCTCTAATGAAGCCTTTGAACCTGTTTGCTCGCCTACCCAACCGCGCCACATCTCGCTGCAACCAGCTGCACCATCCACTGATAAAAACAACGGCCGCCGAATTGGCTTATTGGGCTGCCAAAACCACAACAACAGGGGCAGCCGCCTGTCGACGCGCTCTGCGCCATTTCTGTCGCCGGCGGCTACCAGACCATGCTCTATTTCGGCTGCTGCTGCGATATCTGCTACGGTGTCGTCGCCGGCCGTGTCGTCGCTCAAGGTGTCGAGCGTCACTGCCGCTGGGGCGTTCAGCCCTCCAGCCGATGCCTTGGCGCTGCTTGCGGGCTCTACGGGCCAGTCGCCAGCACTGCCACCGCCGGCAACCGGTGGGTTGGGCGTTCAGGAGCGACGGTTTTCTCGTCCTCTGTCGTATCTGTCCTTGGCAGCAACAGGCGTTGTCATTCCAGCAGCAGCAGCAGCAACGGCGGCGGCGTCGCAGCTGTCAACAGACGGACAGCACAGCCACGCGCGTCCCATTCCTGATGGCAGCAGCAGCAGCAAATGCAACAATCGGCCGTCATCCACTGCGTACCCGTGTACTCATCATTCGCTTCCCAGCACAGCAACAGCGGCCAGGCGTACCCAGCTATCGCCTTCTTTGGACCGTGTGCAGATTGGCTCTATCCGGCAACCTGGTCTTTCACGGGGACCATCCAGTGGCAGCAGCACCCCCCACCAAGGCACAGCTTTTGTTGCCGACGTCTCTGCGATTGTGTGCGACAGAGCTGGGAGGGGCGTCGACGGCCGTTTGGTGGCCCAAAAAGGCATTATTTGCTCAGCGGTGCCAGAGCAGCAAAAGCACGCGGGGGCAGAAGACACACGGAATCAGCGGCAATGCAGCAAGCAGGCGGTTACAGCACATGCAGGCGTCTTTGGCGAGCCAGCTTGCAGGCAGTCGGCAAATAACGTACGGCGCACAAAGCACAGCAGCAGCAGCAGCAGCAGCACGCATGCATGCGCCAATACCACAGAAACACGGCAACGGCAGCAGCAGCAGAGAGGACAGACTCTGGGCAGTCGTTCTTTTTCCTTGAATACCCAGGTTGCTTCCAGAGACGCTGCAGCCGCGCAGGCTGCTAATTTTTCGCTGTCATCTGACGACCATATGTGCCAGGCACAGGGCCCGCCAGTACAATCCGAAGCCTGCGGTGAAGCAGGTGGCAGCAGTGATTATGAGGAGGGCCGTGGGGGCAGCTTGCTGCCCAGTCGTCGTCGTCGCCGCCGCCAGCTGTCCACATCGTCGCGCTGCTGCTGTGCGACTTGTATTAATCAGCCTGACAGGCCGCGTTCTGTCGGCAGGATGTCCCTGGTGAGCGCCAATCCGTCTGTTTCTTGTTCCGCTTTTCCACCTCAGCCCACATCTTCGTCGTCTTCGTCTTCGTCCTCGTCCTCTTTGTATTTTTCGACATCGAACTTCAACATGGTTTCTAACAACGTCGGGGTTCCGCATAGGAGACAGCTGCACAATGCCGTTACTGTGTTGCCTCCAGACCATCCTATCATGGTTACCTTGGCCAAGCGCAACAGCGTGTTCTACCGCCGTCCAAAGTCTACTACTAGGGAGCAGCCTGCCATCGAGGAGGAAGCTGATTCGTGTTCGCTGCAGTCGCGCGAGACCGATGGGCCTTCTGCTGGCGCAAGCGACAAGGGGTATGTTCCCAGCGACAACGACGACGACAACGACGACGACAATGGCTCTGGTCACGGTCAGGCAGCTGCTGACGGCGATAACAACAATGACACAAGTAACCTCGATCTCGACACCGTCGATAGCTGCAAACGCAACGATGTTGGCTTGGGCGTCGATAGCGGCGACGAGGGGTTGACGAGGGAGCAGCAGAGCGAACTTGCCTTGCGCCTTGCGCTTTGTCGGGAACTGCCCTACTGGTGCTGCCACTTCACAGCCGATACTCGCGAGTTTCTTTACTCGCACCAACCCTATGGCGCCGAGCGACCAGCGACCGAGCCGGCCCCACCCATGGTGTTTTCCTCGAGTCCGTCTGACTTTTATCCGCCGACGCCCGAGATCGTCGACTCGATGGTCGAGTACCTGATGCTTATGTTCCACATCAACACCTGCTCTGCTGTCATCCCTATGGAGCGTCGGCTGCCGGATATCCGCGAGTTTATCTGGCGGCTTCTGGACGGCACCATGATAGATCTGTGGACGGCCATTGCCTGCGTTATACTCTTGCGTCGGTACTATCGGATCCAGAACCACTGCGTTGATGCGCCCTATGGAGCAGCGCATTCGCTCTTCCTTGGAATATTTATGCTTGCGTCAACCCAGTGCGTCTACACCAATAACCCCGAGCTCATATCGTTGCCCAGTATCGTCGGTATCCTTGACTCGCATTACCAGGTAGACGACCTTGTGCGTATTCGTCGCGAGGTCTTTGCCAACATCCATTATCGCACCTGGATAAGCGAAGAGGATATCCGGTCTCACGCAAAGAACAATCTGTTTGACATCTATCGAGTGAAATCGGCTTATTCGTTCTACAAGGAGAGGCAGGAGCAACGGATGATGATTAAGGAGGAGGAAAGACGGCAAGAAGTTCGTCGACAAAATCTGGTTGCTCGGCTTGAACGCTTCATGCATAGGACTCCGCACGACTCCTTGGGAAGTTGGAATACAAAGACCATGTACTGTACGGAGTCGAGGTTCCTTTTCAGACATCTGCCGTGGTTCCCCGGCATGGTCACCCCCATCCATGTTACGGCGAGATCGGAACAGGCTAAACTGTACAATTATCCTGATAAATTCCCGCCTGTCTTCAGCCCGCTCCTCCCGCCTACCAGGTCAAGAATCACTGGAACTACCAATTGAAAATACTATTAAATAAAAAATATTAAAAGCACATTTCTCACTCGTCCACAATCATATTACTTTTCTCACCCCTTTTATCTTGTCGAGTTGGCACCGGTCAATCTCATAGATGCTGACAACCAATCTCGCAGAATATAGTGTCTTTTATTTAGTACATCAAATAAGTGCGATTATATTAATAAAACTTGAAACTAGCTCAAAAGTAGACAAGTAGAGGTCGCTCCATAACTAAATTATTAATTTTGCTGCTTCTCTAAAAATTCTAAAGTTGCTGCTGATCCAAAGACGTTACCAACAGTGTCCCCCAAATACTAACAAATCAACAAAAACCGTTGAAATATTAACGCAAACTATTTGCTTTATATACGCATCCAAGAAAAAAATTTTAAACCGAGAATAGCTCAGCGGTAGAGCGGGAGACTGTAGTTTAGACTGCAACGCAGTTAAAATCGTTATCTCTAGGTCCCTGGTTCAAATCCGGGTTCTCGGACTTGCTTTTTAGCCTTTGGTATGTTGATGTTTTTTTTTGTGCGTGCATTGTATCAAAGGGACTTTTCTTTTGCCTAATAAACCGTGGAATTACTAGAATAAAGTAATTTTGAAATAAGCAATAAACGCCACTAGAAGCCAGATATATGCGCGAACTGGCCTTGTTTTTTATACAAAATATTCGAGACATCAAGTAAAAAAGGGGGTTTGTCTCGGATTGTGATTCTAATTCATATTGTTTGCACTTTACAAGAAATCGGCGGATAGACCAACAGCTAACGACTGCCATGTGGCATCAGTGACTAGTAAATAATATATCTTCATTTACAAAATGATATTTAACAAATATGCAAAAATAATTCCGCAACGGGGAATTGAACCCCGGCCACGACGGTGAGAGCGTCGGATCCTAGCCACTAGACCATTGCGGATTTGAATTAATCAGCTATTAATCCGTTAGCTGACTTCTGTTGTGTGTAGTCGTGTTGCGCTCTGCCAGAGCGGCAGGCGACAGCTCATGCGCGCGGCTCATCTCTACTGGTGGGGGAGGAGGCGACGAAGCTGCGGAGCCCGAGGGACTCGAGATAAATTGATAAAAATTAATTTTTAATGTTTAAGAAAATAAGTTAGCAGTGCAACGTACAGAACGTCCCGTTACACAGCAGAAATGTAGTGAAAAAGGTAGCCAACGGCGGCAGTAAGAAAACGGCCTAAAATTGGTTGTAATTGAAAATAAGAAAAACAGCGAACGACAAAAACGACGACAGCGGCGGCGACAACGACAACAGTGTACCAAACGTCCCACTGTTACTGTCAGATAAATTGCTGTTGCGAGAAGGTCGGTCAAAAGAAGGTATATTCAGCTATAAAAATAAAAAAGGATCAAACTCCCGATGATGATTCTTATGTCAGAAAAACTACAAAAAGTCGGCGCCTTTTTATGGTCGCCGGTACAGCAAAAATTAAAGAGCATAGAAAATCGAAAAAGAGTGCAATAAATGCAGCGACCGACCAAAAACCAAAACACAAACACAGAAAAACAAAAACATTTGCAAATAAGGAAACCAGGGCGTGCGAACTAGCATTTACTATTGCAAGCGCCTCATGCTAATGTGCGAAGAAATGTATAGCCGCCTATAATGCAATAGAAAATGCAATGTTAAAATAGTATAATTTGACATATTGTATTTTTCGCTCTGCATATCAAAGGGCTATTACATATAATTATTAAAGAAATGTTGCCTAGATCTGCGGCATCGCTTAAATATTCTGACTTTATATAAAGGTTCATTCATTAACTAATACAAAAGTTGGACATTCCAAACCACTACATCGAATTTCTCTTGCGCTTCTTGCTCGCATGGTCAGATATGTCATCATTGGCTACCGACTCTGATCCTAGCTCTGTGTCAGCCGACGACTCGGCCTCATCGAAAAGCTTGATTGTTTTTTTGTTCATAAACCGTTCCGCCGTCTGATAGTCAATATATCGTTTATACCCCCTTTCAGAAAACAGGCGAATTCCGATATAAGTGCCATCCTGCATGAACAAGAATCTATGCATTGCCTCCAAGATAGCAACCACACCGAGCTTTGTGCAGTTGAACCCGAAATAATCGCGCCAATTCTCTACAGCCAAGCAAGTCGCTCGTGCGCAGGCAAATGCTGTAGAGTCATAG